CGTTTAACGTAGAAGAATAATTTTAGGACTAAACATTTTTTTTTCTTTTTTCTCATATTAATTTAAGGATTTATTAGGATCTATAAATTATTTTTAAAGATATTATCGTTCCGAATTGTTTCTCTTATTTCTCAACTTTTAAATATGGTATGGTCGAGAAAATATGCGGATAAAAATAATTGGTTTTTCTGCAAATCTATCTATTTATTTACTTATTAAATTGAAGGCAAAAAATTTTCTTCTATTCTGCACATCATATGATGAAGTAGGTGACTCTATGCGGGACGCAAATGCGAAGACGAAACAAAAAAATTCATAAAAAGCAAATTGCTCTTGTTGAGAGTCGAACTCAAGACCTCCCGCTTACTAAACGGGTGCTCTAACCAACTGAGCTACGAGAGCTTTTGTTACAACGGTTGACGCCTTTTAACCTAGTATTATTAATATTAACAACTGTGACTAAAATAGCATTGATAACATCGGTTGAATTTTTTTTTTCCTCCAAATGAACGACTTCTTGGAATATTTTGTATAATAATTGTCGATTTATTATTTTAAAGCATGTTTCAGACTGATATTATTGTAACATTGTAACGACACTATATCAAATTAATATCACCAATGATAACTGAATTTTGCGTGAAATCTCAAGTTGGACGTTAAAAATTTTTCTTCTTTTTTAACAACATTCTTCAAAAAAATTACTATTCTTCTCATTATAATATGAAAAAATGGAGCCAAACGGGCTCTTAATAGACGGCATGTCAAATTTGGATTGTGTTACATGTATATAATGATTTACATATATATAATAATGCGGTAAGAAATGATTGAGTCTGGATTTTTTTCAATCAAATAAAAAAAAACTTTCACAATCTCTTTTTGACAATTTAAATGTATGTAAACCATTATGTACAAATAGCATTATTTGTCAAATTTTATGTTGCTTTTATTTACTGAATTATAAACTTTAGTGACTAACTGGATTAAAAAAAAAAAAAAAAAATCTTTAATAAGCCACTTAAGCCCCTGTTCATCATCCATTTTATCAAACATTGTTTGCTACAGTAAACAATCTCCACCACATATTCACTCAATAAAATATTCTACACACAAACCAATAAAATTACTTTACTTTTCAACCGCACATTCTCTAGAAAATACTATTTAAAACTCTATTTTTTCTCCCAAAATTACTATTTAAAATGGGAGACAAACAAGTACTAAATATTTTACACAAACTTCAGTGACCATGGGACTTTGCTTGGTATTGCACTGAAAATGTGGGGCAATTTACTGTGACCAGAGGGAAAAAGGGAGATGCGTGCCACTAATTTGATGCAATGAATCCTTGATTTCTGCGTATATGTCTTCTTCATCACCAATATCATATTTATTTGTGAATGATTTAGTTTCAATTCAAACTCGATCTGATTACCATTATCAGTTGCAGCTTTTCTTCTAGCCCCTTGGAATCTATTTTTTTTTCCAAAATTATTGTTTCTTGACGGTAATCTTCATAACGGCAATTTTCTCAACTCTCCCTCTTGAATTTTTGATGTGGTTGTTATCATTTTCTCCTCGCTTTAGCACCGGCCACCATGAAATACCCGGGGATCAAAATCCAGTGGGGGCAACTGGTCACTAGACTCCAGTGGTTCCGCCCCTGGTCGCCGAGGAAATTCAAAAACATGGCCATGGAGGGAAAGGAAAACGAGGAGGTCTTAAAGGATCGAGTCGAGGGCCTCGAGGCTACTCAGAAACTAAACCTTATTCCTAATAAGCTCGTCTTTAGGGATCATCTTTGTCACATTATTTGTGGCATAGTTTAAACATCACCAATTTTTCTCTAAACCGGTTGGAAATACATTGATGCGTGGGACCTGACTATAGTAGTTGGGATGTGAATTACAAAGAGGAGTTTGTTCCAACAGATGAAAAGTCTTATACCGTAATCGTGAAGAAGGGAAAAAAGATAACTTGGCAAGAAGATTCCATTCGCAATTCTTTTAGAAACAACGAACCTGGCAAGGTTGTGATCACAGTTGAGAATGGAATTTACAAAAAGAAGCGAGCCTTGTACAGATACAAGACCGTGAATACTTCTGATGTTTCTTGAGTTGGTTGCTTAGATAATAAATTAATAATGTTTTGATGGCAATTGCCTCGAAGAATTGGTTCTACTTTTCTGCTTTGTTGTTCTATTTCTAGGTTCAGAATTCAGACATGAACTGGTGGCTGGTATGCCTGCTATAGGAGAACTTTATTTTGTATCCTCCTAAATCAACTGTGGGGGTGAAAGTTTTCTAATCATTCCTCTAACAGGAATGGGGTATTTTGTCCAAGTAATCCTTGGGAAACACAACAGAAACTTGATTTGGAAAATATACTCTATTTTTCTTTCGCATTTGCACAGAAGGGGAAAAATAAAGAACTTCATGGCAAGCAAAACATTGATTATTTTCATAAGAGTAATACAAGAACAAATAATGAAATCTCGTATTAAAATTGATTTCTAAGGCCAGCGATGGGTCCACACAGATGATGAGGAACAAACTGCATGCATAGTTGAACAATCATAAATGCGGTAGCTGAGGTGTGGAGTTTTCACAGAGTCATGCTTGATGTACACTCTTTGGTGTACATCATGCATGNCATGTCATGTTGTCATATGAATAAGAGTCGTGCTGGATGTACACTCTTTGGTGTACATCATGCATGACATTCATCTCACAAAGGTGGGGGCCCTGCAATTTAAAAAATCATGGGCTCCACACACTTTTGTGAGAGGAGTGTCAAAGTTAATGTACACAAAAGTGTACAAATGGCTATTTCCTTTCACATTTCAGGGAAGTTCAAGGCACCTAAAGAATTTCAAAATAAAGCTACCACATAAAATTTGGTTAACATTACCAAATAAACTTTTTTAAGTTTTCCATATAGCAATGTAACATTACATGCTCATTTCTTAGATAGAAGCACTAGTACCGGAGCTAATGGCCGGTTTAACATTTGAAGTTTGCAGCAGACCCAACTGTCAACAGGTAATTCAGAAGCAAAAGCTTGGACTGTTTCAAACTCGTCCCTACAAGGATGAAAACAAGTATCAAAGTGTTAACCGAGGGCCAAAGAATTATCAAGATCCATGGTCAAATTCTGCATAAATAACTAGAAGGCTCTCCTAAATCACTGACAAGAAAGCACCAATCTAACCCTTTTTTTTTGGGCCTGTAGATATATTATCGAAATGATCAAAGAAGTGTAAAGAACAATGCATTCAAGCTCACAATCCAATCTTCAATTATTTTTTCTTCAATAAAACACACTTATTCAAAGTTAACATCTAATCCATCTTAGCTAACCAAATGTCAACAAGGCAGTGTTTATAGAAGCATCTGTGCATTTATGTCGCTGTATGCAAGGGAAGAGAGGGAAGAAGGCCAAAGTTCACTCTACGAATGATATAGGCCCCTTTGCCAACCCCACTTAATGGAAGAAAAGGGCAAAAACACGCAACAAGAAACTAAAATGGAATGTCTAAGAATATTACCTTCCACCAGCATGGCCCACGTAGACCACTATGCTGATGAGTCCTCCAGGTGCCAATATTCTTTTGGCAGCCTCAAGTGCATTTACTGTTGTCTCCGACTGAGTTATGAATTTCTTGTCACCTCCTGGAAGGTAACCCAAGTTGAATGCAACTAATCTTAAAACAATGGTGAAGAAATGAAGTTAGAATATGATTAGCATAACAGTGAAATGTGTCCTAGACTTTAAATACTAGGGTCTCCAACAAAAGTTTCATAATTGCAACAATACCTCACAGAAGCACCACTGGGAACAATTTCCTCCATTTTAGTATGACAAATGGCATAAAGCTCTACTAGTTCTCTCTGCATTGCAACAGTAAAAAAGACATTTCTTCATTGAATATCACATATGAAATTATGTTTCCAGAGAATGAGATATGACCAATAAAAGGTTCTGAGAAACTGAAATTTCATACATGATGATTGTACAGAGTAAGAAATAACTGTTAGAAATGATCGTTGCTCAGACACACATTTGGAATAATGTTAGTGTACAAGTGATTTGCATAATATACAAGTAAAGGAAGTTCTTAGCTGCTTAAATTCGATATTTTCTTTACCGTGTAATTCAAATTCATATTTGTTAAATAAAATATCCAATTAATAGTAATCTTTCTTCTTTTTTTTCAGTTAGTTTAGTAGAAACACCAGTTTATAGTAGCTAATATATTTGCTCATGGCTGTTTCATCATATGTGTTTCTGATTTATAGTTCCCAGCTTCTGATTTATGTTGGAAATAATACAACAATGGAGAGAAAAGGGCTGAAGATAGAAACACCAAAACTAAAAATGGAATAACAAGACATGAACACGTGATCAAATGTTGTCCTCAAACGATATTTCCCTCCTCTCCAAATGCTTTCTGGCAAATAGTTTGAAGGATTAAACAAGCCTCGTGAAGAACACCAAAGCACAAGTGTTTCTTCAATATGAACAATGTGAAAACTTTGAAAGTGTTTGAATATGATTTGATGATTTGGAATAACAAGAATGGATTTCAATTGATTGTTTGGAATGGAATACTAACAAATATTTATAGCATTCAAGTGATACACCACGAAATGGTTCCAACTCTCCATGAAAAGATGGAACTTTTCAGCCAAAAGTCTCCAGATTTCAAATCTGAAAACCAGCTTAACAGCTATTTTCTCTACCCATGTGATCGCAAGGGCATAATCCATGCGATTGCATGGTAGCCTTTTAGCGTCGGGTAAAAATCAAGTGCACCATGATATTGCAAGACCAAATGCCTGAAATGTGTATTCACAAATCCATCCAATGTTTTGGCCCAATTAAGCCCAATTCCCAATCCACTACATTTATATAATTTGAACAACACAATTATTACAATGTGTAGTCCCTTAGCTTCTTTGAGCAGGTTGCCATGAGTAATTCATTTATGCAGAAAAGCAGAAGGATAACATTTAACACACAATGGCTGCATGCGACATACAACAATGTGAATGTCGCCTATGTGTGCCCAGGAGTTGCATTACACAAGCACATACAGATGCATCCTACACCAATGTAGTCTAAAAAGATGAGATAAACAAAGGTTAGACTCATATTCTCTCTTAGCAGTTTTTGCTTGTATTATAAATGCGTCAAAATATTTTACGCACCCAGGATTCAATTCTTAGTGGTGAAAATAATAGGTAAAATCACGATCATCACGTAATGGATGACTAGAAATTCAAAAAATCAAGTATGAAAAGGAAGCACCTCATCTGAATCGACAGATCGATCCAGCAAAGAATAAGTATTCTCCAAGGCAACTTTTTGTAAATCCATTGCATAAACACGACCTTTACGCGTTGCATCAGCAACCAATCTTAGCATTGCCAAGGTATCATATCCATTTCCACAAGTGGCATCAACAACAACATCCCCTTTCCGGATAACATTCTTCCAGACTCTAATATCAAAGAAATCATTCAATGCACAACCATAAACCGTACATATTAA